CCAGTGTTTGTTTGTCTTGGTGCTAATTCATGTTTGCACAGTGCTGGGCCTGCTTTCACTAACAGGCTATAGATTTTTCTCTCTATTGTATACTTGGGAAAGTCGTTTTTTGTAACGTCTTGAAAATCTTTCTGTTCTAAGTTAGACTTCCTTGTGAGAGCTGCAGCAGGTGCTTCTGCAGCGCAGCCTCCAGAGCTTCCCTTCGACTTCCTGGAGGTACGGATTATTAGTTAACGTTTGGCTCACCAGGGCGTCTTGGAGTCACGGACCCGGATCTCATTGTGCCAGGCGCTGGACAAACACAGGAAAAAAAGGCAATCCCTACCCTAAAGAACTCAGTCTAAGTATAAGACAAGAGAGAGCTGATGGAGCCAGACAAAATTTAAATTTAAATTTAATTTAATGTGAGCACAAGGCTAGCAGGACAGACAGTGGTTGTGCAACACACCAGCTATGTCATGTGTTAAGGTTATTGTTGGTATCACAGCAGATGAGAGTTAAAGAGGGACTTCTTGGGGGAGGGGGCACTCGTGTTCCCGTTTTCAGAGAGGCCGTTCACTTCAGATTCATTCGGAGAGTGAGTTGCTTGAGGGATAGTGGCCAGCTGCTCAGAGTTAGATACCACAGAGATGGGCTTGCTATGAAGATGCAATTCAACACGTAGTGCTGGCGAGGAGTGAACAGAACCTCATGGCTCCATCCTCGTCACAGCAAACCCTTCCGCACGGGGCTCTCTCCGACCAGCACCACCCCGGCCCAAACAACCTCAGTGATCCGAAACTCCGATGAGCAATGTGTGCTGGCTGAGGACTTTCAAGTTTCTTTACTTTCTCCAAGTGAAAACCCAAGGACCGGGCCCTTTCCCGCTGACCTTGTGGAGTAGGACCTCACCTGGTGGGAACCTGGGCCTGGAGAATGTGAAGAGCAGGGATTCCGTCACAACCGTGGGGAAGAATCTCGGGGGCCAGGTCAACAGCTTCTTCTTGTATAAGGTGGGTCGGTTGTTAGAACCTGAAATGTGCTCGCTTGGGGCTTTTAGCACGGCCACCACAGGCTGTGACGGTTTGGGTAAGAAACCTGAGCTCAGAAGTACGGTGTGGCGCAGAAGGAGCATCTTTTAGCTTAGTCGCGGCCATGTTAAAGTCCCAGGACCAATAGGGTTGGGTAGTTTAATGAAGGGGGCAGGGCTTCAAATGTGTCACGTCCCACCTGATCCTGTCTCTGGGCTGCAGAGACGCTTGTCTGCTTCCTCTGCTTTATGGCCAACTGACATGGCTGCCAAATGAGCATGACGTTCATCTCCGGTGCGGCTCTAGACACGTGCCGAGGATCAAGCTGTTTGTGGGGCGTGTTTGTTATGCGATCTGCCTGGGCTTGTGCGCAACATGCCATAAAGCTTTTCCATTTAACGTGATCCGGGCTGCGTGGACGGGGTATTCAAGGCACCTGCTTAGCGAGGACATGCCCTGGAACCGCTGTCCTTGGCCAGGAGCAAAGGCATGGTGAGGGGATCCTAGGTTGGGATGAGACGTGATCTAGTTCCTGCGACCAGACTCGGAGCTGGCCACCCCCAAAGTGTCATGGACACATGTGCTGTGTGTTACGCTCCTGTGCCAAAAACACGTCTCGTCCAATCATGGACTAGAAACATCACCATGTGCCAGAGGTGAGCCAACCGCCTAGTGGGCGTGAGCGTTCAGTGAGCAGCCTTGAGTTGGCAAACGGTCAGAAAACACGTGACCGCTAAGTGCGGTCGAAGGGAACTAGGCTTGGTTGGCACCAATTTTCTAGCCGAAAAGGGAATAGAATTGAAAGGACAGGATGAGCCTTGAAATCAAAGCAGCACGAGTCCTACCGAGTGGCAGTGTGGGCTAGTGGGTAGGGGACAGGCCTAGACCTGGGGGACTTGGCTGTATTCCTGGTGCTTTCCACCCAGCCACTCGGTGTGTATCATGTCAATTTCGTCTGTAAGTTCTTGGAGACAGAGACTGTCTCGTCCAATGTGTGTGAACAGCGCCTAGCACAGTGGAGCCCCGATCTCAGTTCGGGCCCCACGGGGCTACTGTTCTGCACATAAATCCCATGTTTCGGGTTGAAGCTGAATTAGGTATTAAATACCAATGAGACCCCATCAGCGACCAGAGCTCCACGCTCTGAAATCCTAGCCGGCTCCCCATTGGATTGTCCAGCCAGCTGGTAACTTAGACCTGTGGTCCTAGGCACATGAGCCACCTGGAAAGAGGAAGAAAGATGGTGGAGCGTGGAATATGCTCCGGCACATAAATCACTATCAATCACTTCCCCTGCCCTCCTGGGAGCCTTCCAGACATTAACTGGGTAATTGCTTTCTGCTGCTACTCACTGGCCCTGTGTCTACGGATTGCAGCATCGTTGGAGACAGCAGGGTTTTCCTTTCCCTAGGGCAATTTGTGCAATGATTAAATCAGCTTGGAACGAACCCTAAAGAGGGGAGAACGTAGCTCCCCCTTCGGCTAACTCCCCAAAGACCCTCACCGCACGGTGCCACGCGCTCCAGCGGCCCTGGCTAGTCCACACTGGGGAGCCGGGTTGTTGAATTAGAGTTAATGGCTTAGCAGCAGAGAGCATCAGCGCTTGAACAGCCCATGCTGGTCCCATCAAGCCAATTAGAAGCTGCTATGTTTGTTTGACTTGACACATTTCAGACAAGGGGAGCAGAGAGCTCTTGGGATTCGGGCACCGCAGCCAGGTGGAGAAGACTCTCCACTCAATTGCTGCTCTGCTCTGGACTCCTGGTGTGACCTTGGGCAAGTCCTTTAACCGCTTTCGGTCTGGCCGCACTGCGCTGTAAACCCAGGTCTGTGGGACCCAGGCGTGGGGACTCAGCGTTTCCAAGCCTACGCTTGAGCGTCCACCCTGGGCTTACAAGTGCTGGGCCCCAGTCTCACCGCTGTGCTAACACATCCATATGGTGCTACGCCGACCTTCTGACTCGGGGCTGCAGCTTGAGCTGCGTCCACACTGCAAAACGGCCGGACTTGGGCCCGAATCACAACAGGACTCTGGTTCTGACCCACCCTCCTAGTAGGAGCTTGGACCTGGGTCCTAAGTGTGTGGCTGAGCTGAGTCAGTAACGTGTGTGTGGACAGAAGGGGGGTTGGACTCAAACCTGAGGCCGCATCTGGGCTTAGTGTGCCATGTAGCCACACCCTGTGTTCCCCCAGGAGAGTCCATCTTTCACAGGTGTGTTGTGAGCGTAGACTGTAGACAAGAACTGGCCATCGCTTGCTAGGTACTGCTGACCTGGGCTGGATTCAAACTCCCAACCCGCTGCCGTGAGTTCTCATCAGCGCATATTGCTCGGGCATCGTAGGTGCCTTCGAGTCGCTCGCGGGATCCTGGATTCAACTCCCGTTGGCGTGTCAGACTAACGAAAGCTTCGCCTCTGACCAGAGCTTCAGCCCCACGTGCTGCGAGTTGAGTTCAAACCTGCTTCCCTGTGGCCAGTGGTTCTCAACCTCCTGCCTTGCTAGGACCTGCTGTGATAACTGGTTCTCCTATAGCCTACCGGTGAGCGCCACTGCAAGAACCAAGTGACAGGTCATAAAATATCCCCAGATCCTGCTTCTCAGCCCATTTCTCATTGTGGGCCGCATCTGCAGCTCCCTGTGTGTTATGTGGGCCACATACTACCTGTATGGCCCTGAGGAGGTCACATGGGCCGCAGCTGTGTGCTGATTGGGCCACGGGTTGAGAACCACTGACCTAGACCAATACACGTCAATGGGAAAAGGTACAAAAGGGAGCCAGGAGAAGTGAATTAGGCCTGACACAAAGGCCCATTGATGTAACTCAAGGACTGTGTTAAGATTATGGCTCGTATGCAAGAGAGGTTGGGGACCGGAAATCAGTGGAGCAAAATTGGTGTGTGGGAAATTAGGCCTAATTGCTGGACAAAATAATGAAGGGACGGGCTCTCCTGCCACCAGGTCCTTGTGACATCCTGAAAGGAACACATTTGTGGGAGAAAAATCAAGCAGCAGCTGTCTGACAACTGCTGGCCAGGAGATGGGTGGACAGGAAGGCATGAGCTTTACTCTCATGGCAGCATGGTCAGGATCTGCTGATTCACCATTGGGTTGTCATTGTCCCGACCAGACGGGACCAAGTGCAGGACCCAGAGGGCATCACCACCTCCACTGGCTCTGGCTAAATCCCGGACACCACCTGGGATGTCAGACTTTGTCAAACCCCTTCCTCTCATCTCCCGGGTGTGTGTTTTCCTGTTTCCTTCTGTCTAATCAGAGCGTGGCTTAGCCGGCCAAGACTATATTGTGCAACGTTGCTGTGAGCCTGTGACCAGAAAGGCAGTAAAAGCAGTTCCCTAACTAACCCGATGCTGGGACAAGTTGGCCAGGGCTCGCAATGGCTGATCAGGCCCTGGGCTGTGCAGGCAGTGAGCTCGCCAGTGAAAGGCAGCCCCAGAGCCAGAAGCCGTGTTGTGTCTCCGCTGTTCTTTTCTCTCCCTCTCCCTCTCTTGGCTTTTAGCAAATCGGCTTGGTCCTTAACCACCACCACGACAGTGACTGCTCCAGCCCACCTCAACGAACATCCTCTCTGTTCCCCAAACGGAGGGGTAGCAGCGTCTTTGGTCCCACCTAGGAGACTGTCAGACAAGGGGCTGAGGTCTCCCTACACCCCACCCCGAACCTTGTTTAAAACTTTAGTGCCAAGATCCTTTGGGCCCATGTATTCCAACTTAAAACAACAGGCCTCCGCTCTCTCCCCCACGTGAGCCCTCTCTCCGTCGCCTGGGCCCCGCTTCCCCTTCGGCAGCATGGGCAGAGTGGGGTGGGTGTGATTCCTTCACACCTGCTGGTGACCTCCATGTTAAGAACACCTGCTCCGGGTTGAAGACAGCAGCTTAGTTCTTCTATCAGAGCACAAGGGCGAAAGCAGACCTGCTCTCACCGCTGCTTTCACTCCGTTCCCCGCCTCAAAAGCATTCCCCCGCCCCTGGCTGCAGAAGAGTATAATCGTTTATTTTGATTTCCATCACATAGCATACTTATCTGAAATACGGGATAAAGGCCTCACTAGTGCCACAGATCCAGCCATAGTGCCTGGTTCTTACACCTGGGGGTGGGGGGGAGGAGGTTTACATGTGATATATAAAAATAAAAATTTGGGCTTACAAAAAAATACATATACTTATCGAAAGGAGCCGTTGTCACCAGTCACCATTGTTTTCTCCCTAGGCACACGCCCTGCCAGTAATCTACAGATCAACTGGTATCAACTCCCCCTTCTTCTGCCCCTGACGGAGTCTGTCTGTGGTCACTTTGGCTGAGCGGGGCCAGGAAAGAGGTTCCTGACCTTTAACTCCTGGGTAGGGACTAGCCGGCCAGTAGACTATTCATTAGCCAACTAAGGCAGCTCCCAGGCGCCAAACGAGCCAGCGAAGCTAGTCAGCTGGGGCCGGTGATGTGGTGAAGTGGGAATTTTTGTAATATTTTTAGGAAGCCCCAGCGTGCCTCAGTTTCCCCTGTATGCTGCATTGTTACCTAGTTTGCGGGGAGGGAAACAGGTCTGTCTGCTCTTGGCAGAGGACATGGATGTGAATGGCTCCTAGCTGTCTGGGGCCTTAGAGCCCAAATCAATGGAGTATCTGAGAAGACAATGGCAAATTCAGTCCCCGGGACTTTGAGACCTAGCAACCAAAGACCATGGAGGGCCCACCCCTCGGCAGGAAGCCAGGCAGTGTTTGCCCAGCTGGGGAACAAAGGGTGGGAGGAGTGCAGGGGGTAGTGGCCCGCCTGAACTGGGACAAGGCGAGGTCAGAGGGACAGGGCTCCGGGCTCTGAGCTGACTAGGATGGAGTGGGCTATAACTTTCTTTTCCTTACGCTAATCCAGGACATCTGCTGTGTTCCAGTCACCTAATAAACCTCACTGCATCCCCACGCTCTGTGAGTGCCCCTGCATCGCTCCCTAAGATCATACTTGTCTCCCTGGGGGCCCATCTCAGTAGGACTCGCAGAGCGGAGCTCATGGGGTGAAGAAGCGATGCTGCAGGCCTGGAGGTCCATCCCAAGGAGGCGGTGAAGCATGGCTCACCCTGGAGGAAGAACGAGACCCCTAGGGGGTCTGGCACTGAAGGGTTCCTCCTGGAGACAGTTCCAAAGCTGGGACCACAGCTCCGATCCTGCGGCTCTGTGCCCGGTGGCAAGCCCCAGCGGGGTACAGAACTGCCAGGGCAGAGCGCAGGTGAGCTGGATGCACTCCTGGACTGAGCGTGACCCCACAGAACTGCCAGGGCAGAGCGCTCCCCCTGGTTTCAGTCCCTGGAGGAGTGAGTGCCACTTGCTGCGCTGGATACAGAGGTCACCAGGAGAACATCAGCCGGGGAGCTCTCTTAACTTCACGCCAGTAAACCGTCCAGGCAACGGTGCCTGCATCATGGAGACAAGAGCCGGTTTATCACGTCGCCTCCTGCTGGCCACCAGGCTGCGTTTGCTGCCAGATGGTCTCTGCGTTTACTTGGCCGAGACACACACGTGTGCCTGGGTGCGGGGTTGGCGTTCTGCTGAAGGTCCTGCTAAGGAGCACTCTTGAGAGGCCTTTGAGTCCCGAATCATGAGTCTGACTGGCTTGAGCCTCACGCGCCAGGGGGAACTGCCCCAAAATAAAACAAGCCAAGAACAAATCCTGTTTCTGCGTGAGAGGAAGAAGGGTTTGCGGCCGGAGGAGGCCTTCTCTTGTAGCGTTTCTTCCTACAGGAGCAGAGGGCTTGTGAACGCAGAGGGTCCTTCTCCCTATTCAAGGAGGCTGCTGGCAACATTGTCCAGCTCCCGTGCAGTAGCTACTGGCGTAGAGGTCATGGAAACTTGGTTAGGGGCTGGATCACTCGACCATTCCCTGTTCTGTTCATTCCCTCTGAAGCACCTGGCCTTGGAAGGCAGGATACTGGGCTAGATGGACCAGTGGTCTGACCCGGTCTGGCCGTTATGTTCTTAGGGTCACCGCTGCCTTGGCGTGTCCCCGTAGGATAAATGTTCTGCATCACCCTGCTGTGGCGGAGGGTAGCCTTGTGACACAGCAATGCCCCAAGTGAATTCAGGACTCCTCCGATGGAGCGTGTCTGGGGCAGGGACATGAAAAGCATGGCTGGAACCCTGACCGCTGCCAAGGTCCCAGTGAGGCCCATGGGTTCCCCGTGGCTTGGTTAGGTTTGTGAGTCCATGAACCGTTGTTCCCTGGCAACGTAAAGCTCCTCCAAGTCCAGTATCGCTGCTGCTGAGGATGCAAAGTGACTGCGTCTCGTGGTGTGAAACCCGCATGGACGTGAGCACCGAGGCAGGTGCTGTCAGGGGAGAGGGGCGGATGGTGGTGGAAGACGCCCCACGCCCCTGCAGCCTCTGAGCTGTCCCTTCCTTTGGGGCTCAATTGGACAGGAAGTCGATGGCAGCCCTGACCGTCTTGGAGGTCCTGACGTCCATAGCTGCCACCTTGAGCTCCGTGTCCCCGAACTGCATGCTGGCCCGGATCTCCCGCCGCCGGCTCTTGGGGCCGCTGGGCTCGTCCAGCTCGTCCAGCTCCAGGCTGATGGTGCCGCACTTCCTCACCCCCGGGTCAGTGATGTAGACCACGTCGTCCGTGGCGCAGCAGTAGATGTTGATGATGATCTTCCGCTGCCCCACCCTGGCCGGGCAGTAGCTCCTCTGCACCACCTCGCCCAGGGCCACCGACTGGTCCACGGAGACAAACTTCTCAAAGATGTCCGTGCACCAGTTCTTCCCCTCCTTCACCAGCAGCTTCTCCTTGGGGTGCTTCCCCTCCACAAATTTGTTGAGTACCCCCACGCCATAGGTCAGGGGTGAGCGCCTGACCCTGACGATGGTGGGGTCGAGGCCGAAGAGCACCGCCCCTTTGAGGATGGTCAGCCCGACGTCCTGGGGGATGATGACGCGACACAAGCTGCCGAAGGCCGATTGGACGGCGTGCTGGAGCATCGCTGACTCTGCAAAGCCCCCTACCAGGAAGAGGAACTTGATGCCTTTGACGTCTGGCTTCTTCAGGAGGTCGTCTGGGAAAGGAAAAGAGGGTGAAACGGTGAACCTGGCCCTGCTACTGACTGGGTTGGGCTAGGCGGCCATAACGTCTCCATTAACCCCTGGGAAGAGCAGGGGAGCGGCCCGTGAGGGACGGGGGAGGGGGGAGAGTGACTCAAAAGGAGCTCATCCAATAGGGTTTAGCTGGGAAAAGTCCCAGTGAATCCAGGGGGTGGGGGTCATGACCCAAAACGAAGCTATTCAGTGGGGGAGGGGGCGCTGGATGGGTTGAAGGGAAGGACCGACTAGAGCCCTTGCCTGGGACCCACGACTGCAGGGTTCGAGTCCCTGCTCTTACTCAGAGGCCAGAAGGGACCACGGTGCACATCGAGTTTGACCTCCCACGTAACCCCAGCCAGAGTCCTGCCCTGGATTAACGCCTGTTTGAACCGGAGTCTGTCGCTCAGAAAATCACCCTGTTTGGAGTTAAAAATTGCCCCCAAAGAAGAATCAACCACGAGCCTTGGGAAATTGTCCTGCGGGCAAGACTTTGGGCGGGTCAGTGTCTCTCTGTGCCTCAGTTTCTCCTCTGTTCAGTGGGGATAAGAGCTCTGCCCTACAGCCAAACCCAGTAAAGACGGCGAAGCTCTCAGACCCCGTGCCGATGGGGGCTGGATAAGCAGCTAGGCAAAGACCCAGCAGGGAGAGCGGGCAGCAAATTTAGGCGGGGGTTTGCAATGAGCAGATGTCTGTGAAGCTGAGATTCCTGTGCATGTTAGATCGGGTCCCTGGGAGGGCACAAAAGCTAGTGCAATTTTGGGCTGCAGAAGCATAAGAAACGGCCAGCCTGGGTCAGACCAACAGTGGCCAATGCCAGGTGCTTCAGGGAATGAACAGAACAGGACAATTAGTGAGTGTTCCATCCCCTATCACCCAGTCCCAGCTTCTGCCAGTCTGAGTTTAGGGACACACAGAACATGGGGCTGCGTCCCTGTCCATCCTGGCTAATAGCCATTGATGGACCTGTCCTCCAGGGACTTACCTAGTTCTGTTTTGAACCCAGTCACACTTTTGGCCTTCACAACATCCCCTGGCAAGGAGTTCCGCAGGTTGACTGTGTGCCGTGTGAAGAAATACTGCCTTTTCTTTGTTTTAAACCTGCTGCTTATTAATTTCATTGGGTGACCCCTAGTTCTTGTGTTATGAGGAGGAGTAAATAACACTTCCTTATTTACCTTCTCCACACTAGTCATGATTTTATAGACCTCAGTCATATCCCCCCTTAGTCGTCTCTTTTCCAAGCTGAACAGTCCCGGTCTTATTTCTCTCTCCTCATCTGGAAGCTCTTCCATACCCCTCATCGTTTGTGTGCCCTTCCCTGTATAATTCTAAGATCGCTTATCTGAGATGGGTCGATCAGAACTGCCCGCAGTATTCAAGGTGTGGGCATCCCATGGGTTTAGCTGGGGACCAGTTACCAGAGAGGGGCACTATGATATTTTCTGTCCCTTTCCTAATGACTCCCAACATTCAGTTCGCTTTTCTGGCTGCCGCTCCCATTGAGTGGATGTTTGAGACCCAACCCTGCGGGCTCCACGAGCTCTCTCTGGAGTGGTAACAGCTCACCGAGAGCCCAGCCCTGTGTATGGCTCGTTGGGGTTCTGGGTTCCAGGGCCCGTTACTTTGCACTTGTCACCACTGAAAATGGCGACAGGGAGAGGAAAGTCCCTTTCCCGCGGTCCTGCAGCGACGGCACGTCCTGGTCACTTCATTGTCAGATATTGACGCAGTGCAGGCCGGTCAGAGATGAGCAGCTGAAACGCTCAGGCCTTGGAGGGATCCAGGGAGGAGTTAGATCTGTGGAATTGGTGGAGGTGGGGAACAGACCAGGTGACCAGTAGTGGTAGTGGGGCACAGTCTGGCCCCCCAGTGCTGCACTGTCTGAGCAGCTCACAGACATTAGCAAATTTTGCCTCACCCCTGTGAGGTAGGTATATCACCAGCCCCTGTTTTATAGATGGGGAAACTGAGGCACAGAGCGCTAAGTGAGTGGCCAAAGGTCACCCAGGCGTCTCTGGCAGTGTTGGGATCTGAGCCCTGGTCTCGAGTCCCAGCCCAGCCCCTGCATGCCAGAGCCCATCTTTCCTTCCCCAGTCGCTGCTGAGAAGAAACGAAGAGAGGAGAAGCCCAGTGAGGCTCTGGCAGGGCTATTAAACCACCTGCTTCAGCCCATCTCTATCAGCGAGTCAGCGGAGACCTAACAGGGGCAGCAGGGCTCTGACATCGGCCTCTGCAGCATCGGCTGCTGGCCCCTGGCAGAGACGGGAGCCTGGGCCTAGGGGATGACCCCGTCTGGCCACGTCTCTGTACTAGGCCGACCCCCAGGCCCGCTCAGGCTCCAAGTAATGACCAGAGCCACCGGCAAGTGTCTGAACCTGCTGGCACACGTGACGCACAGAGCGACTGCACCGGGCACGGGATGGACCCGGGGAACGGGAGCCAAGGACCTACCTAGGTACGGTCCACCTCCCCTAGCCCCGACCCTTTTCAGGGCTCACCCCCTCCAGCGAGGGGGGCTAGCTGTGGTCGAAGCCCAGGAGACGATGCTGGTGTGTGGACTCGGGCTGAGGCACAGCTAGGTGGGAAAGGCTGGAACAAGGGAGCCCAGGTTCATGGCTCCTCTCTCCCCAGGCTGGCTCAGGCCCCCGGTAAGGGAAGTAACAGGACTGGGG